ATCAGTTTCTTAACTTTCCCCAATCTCAACATTCTGTAAGAAGGGCCCTCTGAATTTTTGTACGATTGGATCTCCATAAAAATGAGCAGAATATTGTATATTCAATCTGAATCACTTCTGTCATCATTTCTCCAGCCCATGACAGTTACACCTTCTGAATAACAGTATTCTTGCTTTCTTTGTAAGGACGGAGAGTCAGATTTTCCTTGCATAATACCAAATCATTATTCTTCACATTAATATGTTACTGTCTCAGGCAACCTACTCTGATTTGGAAGATCCAGAAGCAGGTTGAAGACCACACTCAGTTGCTATTACCAATTAGTATCCAACTGAATGAGACTGTGTGCCCATTATGTTGACACTTAAAAGGATGACTTCATGAGAAGTAGCATATTCTTGAATTACACATTTTTAGATTATAAATCTGATTGTAATTTTAGGTCTCATTTTGTTTAGCTGTCATTATGTGCAGAATGCAGTGCAGAATGCAGTGTTCAGAATTTTAAATATTTTATGCTGGTAGAATGAGTGTCATAAAAAGCAATCAATTTGGAAAATAATTTTTTAGTAGAAAACATAATATTGGACAATTCAGTGAGTCCTGGTTTTCTAACAACTAATCCTGCGTAGAGGGTTTCTACTCTTCTTGTTACTCAGGGAAGATTGCCTCTAAGCTTATAGGACCGAATGAAACAGAGTAAGTTTACTAAAAATATTTTCTGGTTGGTTGGTTCGATAGATGGGAAATTATATGGAACTTTGTGTCTATCTGTGACATAACGCAATTTATATTCCTTGAGTTATAAAAAAATTAATATATGATCCTTTGATCTTTTGCCCTTTCAGTTCAGCAAAATTTTTTGTCCTATGAGGTAGATGCATAATATGAGTAATAATTTCCTGATTCTCCTTTCACAAGTCATAGTTCTTTAAAAATTTATGAATGTATTCCTGTCTTTTGCAAGTCCTAGTTTTCTGTCTCAGTACCCCTTACATGCTCATGACATTTCCATTTTCTTGTCCAAAGTCTTACGTTTTCACTTATGTAGCCCCTTAGGCCTGTACACTGTATTTATTTTTATAATAAGGAGTTTCTGTAAATGTATGAGTAATAAAGAAATAAGCATCATCATTTAAAGGAACATACATATATCCCATTGCTTTCTAAGGGAGAATTTTTTTAGTGTAAGAAATCAACATCAGAGAAGGAAAAAAGTAATTTGTGTTCAAAAGTGTATCAGAAAATATTCTTGTCAATCACTCATAGAAACTGACCAGAATTTTACCTTTAAACTGAATATAGTTGATAGTTTTTCTATCTCTGATGTCTATGTGAAGTGCCCCCTCTAACTACCCATGGACCTTGGGAGCTATTGCTTGAACCAGCCACCAGAACGGCAGTGCTGAAAGTGTGAATGCCAGCCTCAACTGCTTCTCCTAATGTGGGTGACAAAGATGGAAGCTCAGAGGGCCCCACGTTCCCTGGCTTGGCACAATGGAAACTCCCTTTCCATTTTCTTACTTAATTGAAATGTATCATTTTATTATTTTTATATGTTGAGTTGGGAATCACGAAGAGCTTCCAAAGAGTCATATCAAGCAACATGACTTGCAGCATCCAAGGACTTTCTGATACTATGTCACCCCTGCCTCTCCTGTGCATCCAGCATTTACCTAAGAGCCACACCTGAGGACTGCTAAGTGACAGCAGTAACTGCTCTGAAATGGAATGAAACTGAAGCCTTAGCAGTGGCCTTCGACAACTTCATAGTTGGACACTCCCAGTTCCCACTCCCACTCCCTCCTGTGGCTCCCTGACTGGGTCCTTCTCCCTCAAACATTTGCATGTGGAATTCCCTTACCAGGTTCTAGGGGGTTGCTCAAGTCACCTTCACAAGGAAGCCTACTCTGACCACCTTGTTTAAGACACTGTACCTTGGTATCCCAAACTCTTCTAAATTCCCTACTTTTTAAAATTGTAGTTATTCACTACTAAAATATGAAAGACTTTTTTTGTTTATTTGCTATATTAATGACTTGTTGTATGCATCCTTCTCGTTCTGAAAGTTCAGTAGAACATTTGTGTTGCACTTTTTCTTTGCTAACTTGCCTGGAAAAATAAAGTGCCTGGCATTTATTTGGTGCTCAAGCAATATCTTAATCGATTACTAAGTGAATAAGTGGATTAATAACTGTATAAGCTCACTTTATACTGTTTGTGAACTCTGAATTAGCTATACATATCAAAAGAGTAGAATGGATTATTTTATGATAGAACTCTATTGGCTAAAATACAGAGATTAAAAAACAGCCAACCTTATTTGTAAAGGCAAATGATGAGTATGCTTCAAAAGCTTGACATTAGGCCTGACCTGTGTATCTTGATCCCAGTCTCTGCATAACTAAGTGAAATGCACTTAATTCTAGGAAAGGAAGAGGAATTTATTTTGTAATCAGAGTTTAATTCCAAGGACTGAAAACATATCTAGAAACACAAGCTTACTCTCTGAGAACATAAGCTCATTCTCTGCTGTGACAAGTCAGTATGATTCATCCAATTCTTTCCATTTGAAAAGATCCAAGATTTTTTCCTAGTGTCTGTGATCTGCAAGCACTTAACTCCATTGTTGCCAAATTCTAGTGGTGATGAGATCTTGAAAAATGGGTTCAGTTTTCCAGGAAGCATAGACTCTGCTGTGGAGCTGTCATGAATCAGGCTTTTTAGAGTAAGACAAAGTGTAATTCAACCTAGCGCTGCTTGGCTGAAACACTGATTGAATGATTGACTGCATGATTTTAATACCAGTGTGACAGAGAGACAGACAGAAAGAGAGAGAGACAAGACAAAAAGGAACCTTCTATCCACTGGTTTAGTCTCCAAACAAGTGCAACATCCAGATTTGGGAAAGGCTGAAGCCAGGAGCCACAAGCTCCATAGATGATCTAAATATTTGCATTATCCTCTGCTGCTTTCCCAGAAACATTTGCAGGGAGCTGTATTAGAAGCAAAGCTGCTGAAACTTGAACTAGTGTTGTACCATGGGATGACAGTGTCACAAGCAACTATTTAACTCATTGTCAATCCCAAGTCTCATTTTTTCATTGTTTAACAATAATGACCCCAACCACCTAGTGAAAGGAAGTTCTCCTTGTCAGTTGATGACCTCACATTCCTTTGATTTTCACAAAAATCCTACAAAGTAGTGACTATCACTTTTATAGATTATGACATCCAAGTGTAGTGCAACTTGTTCAATGGTATCCTGAAAATATGGAGTAGCACTCATTTGAGTATGTATTAGTTCTTGCTCCTCTTTCCACCATAACAACCCCTTTGAAGCTATTTTAACTCCAAAATTCCTCTTGACTGTAGATTGATAACCTGGATCTTGCACTCAATTTTCCTTTCTTTGTGCTATTTGCCCAGGCTCTAGCTGTGAAAGTAGCACCAGGAATGCAGCCCCCTCTTGGCCCTCAGCTATTCCAAAGCATTAGTTTTTGCTTCGGGAGAAAATTCCACCCTGGAGATTTGCTCAAGTAACCTCGCAGTAATGTTTGTACACAGCTGTGCCACTTCCTTAAAGCTCTTAGAACATGTGCTATTTCCTAAGGTCGCTAATGGGCAGAGAATTGAATAGCTAAGTACAAGCTAAGTGAAATATTTATAGAAGCAGATGAAGGAACTGTCACACTGGGGTCATAAGCCTTGAGCAATTTACAGTTCAGCCTTATTTCAGAGAGCAATTCATCTTTCCTTATTTTCAAACACTGTGCGTTGGACATGTGTATGATGTCATAATGGACTCCAAAAAGAAAACTCACAGATGTGCTCAAAGTGCTGCTCACTGTGTGCCTAGCACTGTGCTTGTTGTTAAAGATGGTCCAGTCATAATCTCTATTGTGAGCTAATAATCAAACAGTGAAGTCTGCATACTACAAAAGCCAATGGCTATAAAGACATACTAACGACAAGCATCCTTTACCTGGAGGCTAGTACATGCCGGGAGAACAGAAAAGGTTTCAATATTTATTTATTATTTTGAAGAAAAGAATGTGTTGCATCCAGCAAGAAACACGAACAATGTTTTCTGACTGGAAAGCTAAGGAGAGATCTTGTGGAAGAAATGCTACCAGCCTGGAAGAGTAAGATTTTGACAGAGGAGAGAGAAGACCCTGAGGTTGAAGAAACAGCATGAGCAGAAGATAGGGAAGCCTAGGTGTGCAGTGCATTCAAGAGATGTCATGGAGAGTCTGCAGCTGAGCTAAGTGCACACTTTATGGAAAGATGAAGGCAGCTTAAAGGCAAGCTGGAGACCACCGTAGAGACATTCAATGGCACACAATGGAATTTCCATTCTGCTTTTCTGGAGAGTGGGGAAGCTTTTGAAGAATAGCATAATATATTCACTTCCATGGAAAGTGTTTCTGGAAATGTTGTAAAGGGTGGAATAGGAAGTAAGACTGGAAATACTAGTACTGGCCAGAGTGCGCACGGAGCAGTGCTGTCAGCCAGGGACAAAGCAACCCCAAACAGTGCTGCAGAAATAAGACAACATTCTGAGAGGCCAGGGACCACACATCAGGAAGAGTTTGTAATTGTGAAGAGTGGAGGGAAATGAAAGATGAAGTCAAAGAATTGATGGTTCTAGCCTGGATGATTTGGGGGGAAAACAGCATGTGCAAAGTTTCTTGACAAGATTGAAGCTTTCAGAAAACTCATGTATAACTTCATGGCATTGCCAATGACACTGCATTAGTGGCACTTTCCAATGCCTTTCAGTATTACATGGCACACTTTCTTTTCTTTATAAAGCACAAATCTCTGATAAAAGGCTAAGGAGAACTCTGCAATATTTCTGTAGGAAGCACGGACAGGAGCGGCCTCTTAGCAGCCTGAAGTAAGGTTATTCCAAGCTGGGAGCTGTTTACTTCTGGAAAATACATTTCACCCCTCTCATTTTGTCTTTTATTTTTCCTCCCTATGCCTACGCCTTTAGAGGAAAAGTCCGGTAAGAAATAAGTTCTTTGTACATTTTAGTGAAAAAGTTTTTATTCTGTTCATTTTCACCATCCGCATATCTAACGATTGATTGTGTTTTGCACCTAAACAAGATTTTGAATATTAAAAACAAACCTTTGTGAACCAGGACAAAGGGTCTAATTATGCAACCTGGGAAGAAAAGGAACTTGGTGACTTAATGATTTCACAATCCTGTGATTAAGGAACCAGGGTAACTTTGGAAAGATGTGCGACTGCCTCACTCAAAGACATATACGCAGATATCTTAGGTCTCGTTATTTGCAGCTTCAACTTGAGAAACGAAGCTGCATAATCATGCCATGAGCTAGGAAAACATTGTTTGGGTTACTGTAGCTTGATGTGTGAGACAGCGTTGTCCTAACTGCGAGTGAGGTTGACTGGAAGCAGCAGTTGTAGGGTGTCTGGTTGTTTTGTTTTTGTTGTCGTTTTCATAAATTAAAATATCCTGTTCTAATTTGTCAGAGACCGGTAAAGAAGGTCTTTCTAAAATGTAAAAAAAAAAAAACTTCATCTATGTCACCTTTTAGTACAAGTAGATGCTTTTTAGTGGCAGTATCAATTTAGTATGATGAATCCAGATATTTTTATTTTAGAACATTATGGAAAAAAATCTCAAAAAGAAAGTTTTATTCCCAGTTACCTAATTTATTGAGAATATATTTCCAACGTGCCAACGCATGACTATCACAAGTGACTTCTCAACTGGAAAATATAAAACTATTGTGTTTCCATATGAGCAAGTAAGAGGAAGTTGCTGGCTTATTCTGTTTGCCTCACCTAAGTGAATGCTGCAATAAATGTCCATTACATCTGTGTGTAAAGGCACAGACTTGTGGAAATTCATGTAAATGGGAGGAGAGGAACAGAATGCAAACAAAGAACAACAACAAAACATATGCTTAACAGGCTAAAATGTATGAAATTGGCCCCAAGTCTCTCTGTTTTCAAAAAATCTGCACCCATGAATACAACCAAGCTCATTGCGAAGTAAACGTCCGACTTCTGAGTCACTGAGGGCTAAGCATAGAACACATGCTACATGGCAGTACAGGGCGTTAGAAGCCTTTCCTGATCTTCCACACTTTCCATTTATTTCCTTTATCCTGAATCTTTTCTCTGAAATAAGCAGATGCAACTCCTTCATATATTAAAAGAACCATGTGACATGAAATTTTCTTAGGGCACTTTCATAATTCTCTGTTCTTCCATGGTTTTTCTCCTGCGTTCCTTTGAACAATTTCAGCTGCCAGCACACTTTTCCATTCCCAGTGTGTCTGTGTCTTCAGTGACAAGTCTTGGCCCCCGACTTCCATGACCGTTTTCTTTGGAAATGTTTGTCCTGTTGATTCATCCACATGGTTCCCCGCTTATGATACCTGGTTTAGCAGCAGGTTCTTTGTTTTTCCTACTAAAAATAAGTTTCAAAAAATAATCTGAAATGGGTCTGAATAAATATTAGTACTCTCAACAATACGACATATAGTACATAAGGATCTTCACAAACTTGGTAGAAAATGCTGAAAAACAATGTATTTCAAAATTTTTTTCACGCAAAAAAATATTTTTAATTCACTTTTCCATAAATTTTTTGACTCATCTCTGTGTATAGAAACAAGTTTAAATATATGTATACACCTGCAAGTGTAGGGCAAATGAATGCTTGCTGGATAGTTTGCCTTTACCCTAGAGCTTTTTTTTTTTAAAGATTTATTTTATTTTTATTGGAAAGGCAGATATACAGAGAGGAGAGACAGAGAGGAAGATCTTCCGTCCGATGATTCACTCCCCAAGTGAGCGCAATGGCCGATGCTATGCCAATCCAAAGCCAGGAGCCTCTTCCAGGTCTCCCGTGTGGGTGCAGGGTCCCAAAGCTTTGGGCCATCCTCGACTGCTTTCCCAGGCCACAAGCAGGGAGCTGGAAGGGAAGCGGGGCTGCCGGGATTAGAACTGGCGCCCATATGGGATCCCGGGTGTGCAAGGCGAGGACCTTAACCACTGCATCACCATGCCGGGCCCTACCCTAGAGCTTTTAAAAAACAAATACAAATATAAACGTCGGGTAAGATCATAATAATAACAATAAAAATAGCATAATAATAACAATAATCTTGTAATTGAATTTTTCCTAAAATATTCTCTACCATGGATCATTGAATTTGCTATGACTTGACAATTTAAAAATAATATTTGTTTGGTGCTTTATAGTGTATCAGCATTTTTCGTCTGTTTTTCCCCTAGCACTGAGTCTAAAATTGAGAGTGCTATAGAACAAAAATCGACTGAATATTTTGTGCATTTGATAAGCAAGACAGATTTGGGGCTAATAGTTTTTCTTACTAACATCTAAAATACTTTGTTCATATTGATTAAAACTGAGGTATTCTACTTTAATAAGTTAATTGTGTATTTTTTTAAAGTAACAAGAGTGTGATATGGTGTACGAAGACCATCCGTGACAGCACAGGCCACAGTATTTTCTGTTAGGGAAATATATTCATAGTGGAAGTTTATTTTAGAAACACAGCCTGTTCTAACCATAGACCACCAATCTAGAGTAACCAAATTATAAATTCATGGAGCTTCTCTTAAGTGAGTACCAAATAAAATTGGAAGAGAAAATAAAAAGCTTTCCTAAACCATCTCCAAAATACATCAAAAGATCAAGGGAAGTCTAAGAAATAAGCAGTTAATATTTCATTTGGAATTCAAAGAAAATTTAGAAAACAGTAGATCAACTGCAAACCTTGTTTAGTAATCAGATATGCAGGTGAAGCAATAATGCCAGCAGATAGAATTTACCGATACCTTATTATGTGTCACACAAATTCCTGCAGAGACAAATTGGCCACCTGCAGATTCTGAACAACAGAATAGATGTTTCGCTTGTTATTGTCAACTGAAAACAATTTTAGCTGACATTTAAAAACCAGAACATTTTGGATTGTTTTCGAAATCTGAATGTTTATCTCCTCTCTGAAGATGTGGCTTCACCAGGTCCAGGTTCTGCCCTGGCTGAGGTGAGTGACCAGTTCACCAGAATGATGCCCCGACTCCCAGCATCCCCTTCGCCTCAGCCCGGCACGCGTTTGAGTTTGCAGCCATGGAGGTAGATCTTCAGCACAGAGAAGTTGTCAAGACCAGATACTAAATTAGTTTTTGTCTATCTTTGGTGTAAATTCTGTACATTGGCTCAACAAAGATCGATTGCTAAAGGCTTTAGAGTAGAAATGAAAGAGAAAAGGTGAAATAAAATTTTTACCAAAGATTCTTCCCTTGGCAGATTTAAATTTTGCTGTCCTTATTCAGCAAATTTTTGGCAAAGCCTAAAATGTTTTATGCCTTGTGATAGTGACAATGAGAACACATTAAGTCCTCTGATTTGAGGAACTCTTTTCACTGATTTCTGGAATTCTTCTTGAATGTTTCAGTAACTTTCATTTACCAATCCTTATTTCTAGCTTTGTCCTTGTAATTCTTTTTATCAACCTACAGCTTGATGAATTTGAGGAGTTCTTTGATGCAGGCATTTTACAGATGATGTTTTCAAAATATCAAATAAGGCTGTCTTTGCCCAGAAAAATACGCACACACACACACACACACACACACACACACACACACACCACACACAAACATGCACTCCTGATTAAAAATACACATATTTTAGCTCACAAGAAGTTAAGATATGATTTAATTTGTGTATATTAATATAAGAAGAATTTTTGAAAAGTATCCCATGTATTCATAAATTAAGTTTCTTATCTTTGTAGTTCTGCCTTTGTGTGGTCCAAATCTGTGTTGTTTTGCATTATTTCTAACAATGTCATCTTCAGGAAACTGCAAAAGTTTTAATCCCCTACTGTTACCTCGTAAAAATGAGTTTTCATGAAAATTTCCCCTTTCCTTCTTTGGAGAAGTTCAGTTCTGGTCATTAAAGAAAAATCAAGCTTGAATGTTCATATGAAAGAATGTTGGGATTTCCTTCAAAACACCATGTGCATCATTCAGTATAAGAATCCAAGCTTTCAAATACATATTCCTAGATGTATTTTCAGTCTACTTTTTAAAGCATTCATCCATGCATATGCGCATATTGACGAAAAAGATAAGTTTTGTGCAAAAAGTACCAGGAAAACATGACAGAACATAAACTTTAAACTGTTACAAGGAAAACTGAGTCAAGTATGCATGTCTACAGTCATGGATACACACTAAACGATTCTGAGAGATAACCATTCCTTGACATGAGCCTCTGTCTAACAATGTCAAGGTCTAACAGGAGAATGGCAGTTCAGAGGTTTAAACGCTATGTCTGGTTCTGCATGCAGACTAGCAGGGCACCTCAGGATCTCACTTTCCTCTGGATATCATAGAGGTGTTTGGACCAGGGAGGCCTCCCAGATGGGTCAGTCCACACAATTTTGCTTCTAGTTTACCTTCTGAAGAATAAACCATCCATTTTATTTGAGTAACTTATTATTACTTTGTTATTTGTGCCTCTGGTTAATCCATGGATTAGCCCATACCTTGAAAGAAAAACCTCAAGGAACATCTCTTTCTCTACCCTGACTTGAGTTCCTCTGATTACAGTAGAAAGATTCTAACTGAGGGAATGTGATCAAACACTGTTGGGGCAAACTGAAAGCAACCATAATCAAGACTGGAGAAGTGAATGAAAGATGTTGTCCCAGGAGTCTTCAAAATGTTGTGAAAATGTGTGGTATGCATGGATTTAAAACATTTTGCACTAAGATTAACTAACCTTTAAATTCTTTTTTTCCATGAGCTTCCTGAAATGCCACTATATGCCCAATTGTTTTATTTTCCAAATGTTGTTTGGTTCCCCAGCTTTCACTGTTGTTTGACAGGTTTCATCATTCACACCTGTGTTTTTTAGGAGCTTCTCATCCATCCTACAGTATCCCTGTGCAAATCGCCAGGCCAAGAACAGATACTTATTTTTAAAGAATTAGAAGTGCATATTTCATAAAATGCTAAAGAGAAAGGCCACACAGGAAAAGGGATGTCTATATCCAGCCCAGTTTTGTTTTTTGTTTTTTTGTTTTGGTTTGGTTTGGTTTTTGGTTTTTGGTTTTTTTTTTTTCTGTAGGCTTCTTTAAGTCCCTAATAACATGGGAAATTTACTATGTCATCTATTCTTTAAATCCCCCCTCCCGATAATCTGCAGAAAACTCCTTATGGCAAAATATTAAAAGCATCTTGACATTTCTTTCCTGTTCTCAGGCATATGTAGCTTAAACTTACACCTCTGTTAACAAAGCTACTTTTCAGGGTAGATAAGTTTTTTGAAGGTTTTATAAAGCCTCCTAGTGTCTACACAAGCCTTCAATACCGTGCATGCCTGCTCATCTTTCCTGTAGCCTGATTATCTGCACTGTGTTTGGTTAGCTGTTTATGAAGTCTTCTGTGACCCAAGCCTGTTGACTGATCCATCATTCTCTGACTAGGTATCTGTTTTCTCTTCCTTTTTGCTGATCACAGAGGCGCAGCCCGGTAAGAACTCCCAACATTTTTACCTTAAACATGTATAGAGAAAATTACTGCCAAGGCAAGGTGGCCAGGTTGGTTTTCCATTACATTTATATCTCAGTGTGAATGAAGCAGATGAATTAGGATTATTGGCTAGAAGCCTCTGGTCCTCTAAGTGTCAAGGGCGTTTGTAGAATTATCAGAGCACTTTTACGTATGAGCCCAGATTGATGCATGGGAATATCAACTCTTAGTGCTGTAATTGAAAAACGTGTGTGTGTGTGTGTGTGTGTGTGTACACATGTACATTCAAGAAAAGCCTGTAGATTAATGAAGCAGTACTGAAGAAACTGATGACAAGCAATGATAAAAATAATAATTTTAAAAAGCCATGTTGTTTTTAAGCCTGAATTAAAAGTATGTACCCAGGTCGTAAACATTGGTCAGTAAACAGTGAGACATAATTATTTATTCGATGTCCATCTTGGATCAACAAGACAGGCTTTCAAGTTAATACTTCCGACCAGTCACCTAATTCTCAATGTTGTCACTGAAAACAAGCTGTGGCAGGATAGAGCATAGTTTGTTTGCATTATTCCAAATGACATCTCAGTCATTTTCTTCAGACTGAAACGTGATGAATTTAAAACCACATAAACAAGGATCTTTGCTGTGTTTAGATGAGCCCCATCTTATTGGTCAGACCCTTAAGAGAAGAAATGATCTGGAAATAGTACTGAGATGCCCCTGCCCTGTGCCAGCTGGATTCATTGATTATTATTTGAGACAAGTACGCTGTCTTGTCAGTTGGGTTGCTAGCTCTCTGCTTAAGCTGCATGGCTGAGATCGCAAGTTGGTGTCTACAGGGGCTGCTCATCAAGTGTCAGATTCCAGTTCAGCTATTGGGTGACAATTTCACTTATGAAAAGTTGCTGCAAAGTAAAAACTGAGGTAGAGTGGATCCAGTCATTGAAGAGATTTGACTTACAAGGTATACAGAACAAGCGACCATTGAAACTAGGAAAATATGATTGTGTGGTAAGGAAAATGTTTTAATGTACAGAGCTTTTTTTCTGAATGTGGTTTGTGTGGCTAGCATAACTTTAACCATGTTCTAGATTTCTCATGCTAAAATACTAAGGTCATTGAAAAAACCTGTGCCAAAGCCAGCTGGCAGCCAGAGTTTGTTTTCTGTTGCTGGTGACTTAGGGATGCTAAGTGTGCAAATATCAGTCCCTTTCTAAAACGCTAGTGGGATATTCTTCCTAATTAAGCAGCAGAGTTGGCTTGAATGTTCCATTTCTTGCTTGCACTTAACTTGTGATCATTCATTCATGAGGAATGTTTAACAAAAATGTGGCAGGACTTCTTTTGTGCCTTTTCAAACAAGCATCTTTGATATATGATTGACACACTTGGGAAGTGATGAGTGCAAAGAGCCTTGTACATTTCTCTTTTTCATAGGAATTCCATTTTCAAAGAAAAGCAACATAGCAGAGAAACCTCAAAGCTTTTAGAGCAGTCTGTGGGATCTTCTAGCTCCTAGCTTTCAGGGTTCACAGTGGGCCCTCTTCTCTCAATGCCAGCTTGCTTGTGACTGACTACTTGGAGATATAGCCCCTGTGTCTCTTTCTATAGACTGTATTCATAAAATTCTATCCTTAAGTCCATAATGCAAAGAAAATTTAATTCCATTTAGGTCATTTGTCGTCTAATCATTTTTGCTACAGAAGCTTATTTTCCCACAGAAAGCCTGGAAGTTTAAACTCCCATAATGCCCTAGTAGATTCAAATCTCCCTGTTGGTTAAAGAGCATTTACCAATACTGCAGTAGTTTTCTATAGAGCACACAGAGTAGGGGGAAACATTGCATTATTATGCAAAAGAATCATGGTGATAAAACTTGTCCTAATCAATAGTATTACCATTTTAGAAAAGAAAACATACTGATGATCACCAAGTTACAAAGTAGGAGGAAAGGTGTGTTTGGTGGTCATCCACCAATTTCATTCCTGCTCTTAACATTTAAGACTTTTTAAAATACTTCCCTTCCTGCCTCCATTCTGCCTGTGCATTTTCCTTAAGCAGGCAATGCCCTGCCCTATGATCCAACCCTTCTGCTAGTTTACTGATTTCAAGCTAAGAACCTTTCACTGCTTCTCGTCTTCAGCCAAGTTTTTTTTTTTTTTTATCTATCAGTAATTTTGTTATGGGAACACATTAATATTAAAACATAATCAATAACTAGAGATAATTTGCTCAGGTTATTGCTGCAGAACTGTTTGACTTCTAATAGAATCGCAACACCTTGAACTGAGGAAATGACTCCCCATCCCTGACTGGTGGGCTGGACGGCATGGGAGAGGAGGCTGCCTAGGTGGGATGACTCCCTGACTACAGCAGTCCACTCAGTGGCAGATGCTTTGTGTTTCCCTTCCCTTTAACACCTGCCACTCAATGTCTTTTGAGTTTGTATGAATAAACTGATGACTCCCTTGCTGCCAACTTGGAGACTCCAATCGACTAAGAGCAAACAGTACATGCAGGAATGATCTATAGTTGTCAAACATCCAATATAAAGCTTGGGTTCACTTATCTTGCCAGAGTTCAAGAGAATTTTCTATCTAATGAGCTATGTAAAATCTGCCTTTAATTTGCCAAATTTACTCAGGTAAGGGGTTTACCTCTCCCAAAGACAATGACGTACTCTCCTTTCCCCTCCATAATCTTTAAGTAAAATAAAAAACTGATTTGTGTGTATGTATCTATGATTCCAACCATAAATACAGTTCAGATAAAAACATTAATTTTCCCCATCTGCATTTCTATGAGTTTAGTTATTGCAATGAAAGAAATAATACATATTGTACATAACATATATGTGGACTCAAGCCTTATAGTGTCTATTTCTAATTCTAGGGTGCAATTAAAAGGAACTTATCCAGTAAGTATGTCTTAGCTACCAGAAATAGAGTACAATGTTTAAGGAATGGTTCCTTGGATCTTGACGTTTAATACATCAGAATGATACATTTTTGGGATTAATTTTTAAGACTTAATTTTTTTTTACTTTTACAGCAAGGCATTATTATAATAAAAGAGAGCCTCTGTGGATTCAAATTGCTTAATATTTAAATTCTGAAAATGAATGTACTTTTGGAAAATTTTTTTCTGTTTGTCAACTCTTGTTGCATCATTTAGCTTCAGAAATGAGTGTAACCAACAAGCCAAGCCTATTTGTTGAAGAGGGAAAGGAGAGGAGGAAGGCAGAAGGAACTGATAATAGACACAGTCACCTCTTCTTGTATTATTTCACATAAAAAATTTAGCTAGTCAAAATCATGTGATACAGGTTACAATATACATAAAACATGATTTTCTTCTGCTGCATACAACACATTCTAGGAACTATAAGCTCATGGTTCACAGTTAGAGATGTAAATACTTTCTTGGCATTTCAAGAAAGGATCAGGCAGAGAATGCTGGATTCATGTACTGTGTGCATATGGCCTGGCTCAGTATTCTCTTGTGGTAATCGAGAAGCTGAGCTGATCAAGAGCGCAGATATTGGAAGAAAGGTTTGTTTTTTCGCTAAGCTCCACAGTACACAAACCTACATGATGGCTTATCGTGGTAGTTCCTTGGTTAATGAGATTTTACAAACACCATGAAAAATGCCACTACATGGGCCTGCAATATGACTGCTGAGTTGCCAAGAGAGAGGATTTGTTTTGCAGTTTTCTTTCTGACTTTCTCATTGATGAGACCTAAATCTCTAAGTGTTTCCAAGCATAGTTCATAAGGCATATCAGAAAGAAATGTCAAAACTAGGGTCTAAAAATGTCTTTGTCCATGCATCAGGTGAAGAAGTGGCAAGACCCAGGCGTTCCACACCAACTCCAGAACTTATAAGGTGAGGATGAGACATTAGTTGTACTTAAATGCAACTTTTGATGAGCTTTTAGCAATTAAAAATATCTTTGGGGCTAAACTCTAGGCATATGCTAATTTTTTTAATAAAATATTTTACTATTGGCTTATTTATTTGAAAAGACAAGGTGTCAGGATAGAGAAAGAGATGCCTTCTAGCGACTGGTTCATTCCTCCAAATAGCCACAACAGCCATGTCTTAGTCAGAGCAAAGCCAGGAGCCAAAAATTGGTCCATCTGGACCACCCCACATGGGCAGTCTAAGTACTTGGACTATCTTCTGGGAGTTAGATCTGAAGTGGAGCAGCTGAAACTTGAACAAGTATTCCAATATGCTTTGTAAGTGGTTTCTTAATCCATTGTGCCACAATGCCAGGCCCTCTAGGCTTCTGTTTTCAAAGGACATACTACACATATGAGTCCATATGTCCATAGCATGGTCCAAAGATTATTAAATCTCATAAGCACAACCCAAAGGAGATCTTGAAAGAAATTCTCTGCAGTTATGTGAAATAATTGTCTATCAGAAAATGTAACCCTATTACTAATGGGCATGTTAAAGGTCTATACTGAGATCTTTGGGTGTCTGGAGTTCGGACCAGAAACATAAGTCTATTGCCCTATGAATGAAAATCTAAATGAGCTACAATTTTAAACATCATTCCATTTATCACATGCAAGATACTTTTCTATTTGTTTACTTCTTGCTTGCTTGTTTCTTTGGCAAAGCACTTTGGGTTATGTGTTTACATGTAACATTGTTTTCTCAAAGGTTGTTATTTCCACTTAAAGGCTGGCTTAAATCTTCCTTCATTCTCCATCCTCTCCTCCATCACCCCCATCTTCCCCAGACAGAACTTATTAGGAAAAATGGGAATAAGGTCTGGAGAAGCAATGGATATGATTGTGCAGTTTTAATAATTGTTCTAGAGTAATTGTGATTAAAAGAAAGCATGAGCGTTACATTCACTACATCCTGCTACCCTGATTTCTCAGTATTTTTTTTTCAGACATACTATGTGGGAAAACTTGGAGGTTATATCTGGTTTATTCATAGAAGGGGAGAAGATGGACTAAGAAGCTAGGAACTGAAGTTCCTCATTAGGATACAGACTTCCTGTGCAGTTATCGCTCAGTGTTCCTGTTTCTGTCTTTCACTAACCATAAACTGCATTAATAACCCGGATATGGTCACAACAAATACAAATATGTTTTGAGATCTTAGGAAACAAAGATGTCTCACCATATACTGTTATTTTTTGTTCTATACATAGAGAATAACAGAGCTTTGGGAGTTTTCCCCTTCGACTTACTCCTGTTGGACCAATGCCTGAGTTCTCCTTGAGAGCAAGAGATCTTATCTTCTACCAATTCTCTCGTCTCATGATATTTTTAGGTCATTACTGAAAGCTAGTGTAACTATCTGAGCATTTGCTTGTGAGCCATTTTCTATTTTACCTTAATGTGTGTGCTTTAGCAAAAAGCCTCCAGATGACACCACAACTCTTGCTCCCCTCTTCGGCCCACCATTAGAATCAGCTTTTGATGAACAGAAGACAGAAGGTAGGAAAAACCTTATCTGACTATAAATTTATTTTGCTTTTGTAAAGTAAAAATATGTATTCTGAGGTGTAATTTTAATTTACCATCAGATTCTCAAGGGATAGGAAAGTTTTGATCTAAGTGTGTTATTAACAACAGGAGGTTATTTGTGAACTTCTATTATTTTACAATGTGAAATTTAGTTCCAGAAATATCTAGGTGCTATCAAGTTCACACTTTGAAAAAAATCAATAAGAGCTATCGCAAGCATGCACAAATGCTATCAGTGACAAAATTCTCCATGAATCAAACAGCCAGCACTTAAGGTGTTAACAGGAGCACGACTGGAGCCAGACCTCACTCCATTGGATCGCTCACAAAAAACACTGACTGCTGACTTAAGATCCAGAAATGACCTGGTATCCTTTAGACACCCATAAATAAAATGCTATAGGGGAAATATCTTAATTTCCTCTATTATTGCTGCATTTACCCATTAAATAGTTATACCTAGATCTAATTTTAATTTTTAAAAATTATGTTTTTAGATTTGTTTAAATAATGCACATTTTGTTAGTATAAAACAAACTCTTTTGTATGAGAGAGCTGATCAATTCCAAAATTTGTTTGTGACTGTCTGACCCAAGTGTCTCCAGTTCTGAGTTCAAATAAACAATGATTTGATAAAAATCATTTGACTTAAAAGAATTATGGCATATACATAATAAAATTCTATCTGTCTTGAAACCATTTGTGAAGTGTTCTTAAGCGGTAAGACTTGGGAGCATAATCAGCTGGCAAAGAACCAATGAAAAAAGAGACCTCAAAATACAGTGAATCAAGCAGGCTGGATGCTTGTTACTGCTTCATGCTGGTCATATAGGACTGGTTGTATAGTTGTGCCTCTCCTCAATGGTTGTTTTCTGCTCTGTGTCCAAGTGTACTCCTCAATTCTCATCATCCCCAAGACAGAAGAAAGATGGTGCAGAGTGGGCCAATGGATCTCATTTCTATTTCTTCTAAAAGTAAAATCCAGCTTCCAGCTGGAGCCCACTGAAGAGAAGTTGGTGCCACGTGGCCAGCTGAAACTTACCATAGAAAAAGTGAACAATAGATACTGAAACATGACTCAGTGATTTAGTTAGGAAAATGATTTTTTAAAAATCCCTAAATATTGCAACAGTAACTTAGATATCTGCAACAGAATTCCAACAGATGGTTTTTTTTTTTAACTGATTTGAGTCCTGAAGTGCTGCAGAGTTCCAGCTTTTGCACCAACCATATGAACTTTTTCAACACCCACAGTTTCCATTTATATCTACCCATTCTTACTTCTTTTGAGTGATCTTTTATCACTGGTTAAAAGGTCTTGCGGGGGAAAAATATCTATTTTGAGTCATTAATGCCTGGGTCAGATTGTAGCTCACCTATTGTTACCACAAACTAATGATTTAACCACTGTAATCATCAGTTCTTCTCCCAAAACTGATACTGATATTAACCATTGAGTGATAGTATGAGCTAATTGCTATGTGACAGGTGTTCTATGTATGTTTCATGTGCATTGTGTTTATACACAATAGTAGCTTCAACTGTTTTGTAATCCTCTCATTTTGCTTTTATACCATGTTATATTGACAGAAAGAAGTTCAGAAATATTTAATAACTTGCCCAAGATCCTATAGCAAGTATGGAGGCTAGATTCAAATCCATATCTGACTGTCTTCCCATTCTGAGCACCACAAGATGATATTAAAGTACCTGCCTAGTCCCTGGTACATGATAGGTAATGAGAGCTGAATGTTACCAATGTCACCATAGTGATTTTAAAAAATCAAAACAATAAGAATGAGAAGAAATGTTCAAGCCAATGTCCATTGGCACAATACCCAATTTCCCTACTTTACTTTAGACGTCTAAGTGCATGTTCATTTTGTTTTCTGGTTCCTAGTATATGCACCAAGTATTTTTTAAAATGGTTCAATTTCTCTTCATCATACTACAAAAGGTTTGTGTAAAAGCCCTGTAAAACTGTGGATGACAGAAAATACTTCATGGAGCCCATACATCTTTAGTTATGAAATACATCCTTAGCAGGCTTTAAATAAACCAACTTACAACAAGACAAATGCCTGTGGTATTATTGCCTGGATTTTCAAATTGGCACCAGAATCAGAGTCAGTATTCACTGGTATTCAGTGTCCTTATGTGACCAACAAATACAGGAAGCAAATACAGATCCTATTTTGAAAGCTTTTACTGAGCTACTTGTACACACATAGACACCTCTTCCACCCCCAACGCAGCACATGCCAGTTTCTATTCTCTACTTGAAAAGAATGAGGAGCAGCACATTCCCAAAATAAAATTGCAGGACAGACGCACAGGGGAAATAACTTTGTGATGTTCAACTCTTTTAACTGAAATGTTAACTTTTAAAGTTCCTTCTGAGCTCACTCTTGGATACTTTCCTTTCATGTTTCCAGTTCTTTTAGATCAGCCTGAGATATGGGGTGCAGGCCAGCCAATTAATCCAAGCGTGGAGTCGCCAAAGTTAGCAAGGCCTTTTCCCACTGGAAGTAAGTTATGTATCTGCTCTGTATAGAAAAATAAGTGACTTATTTTACTGTCTGCATAGGGAAATTAGGTAACTCCTAGAAAGTCTACTTTAGCAATACTGTGGTCATATAACAGCAAAAGATGCTGTTATTCCAACAGGTTTGAGAGATAAAGGGGCCAGGACATTATTAACCTTGAATCATAACCTCTTCTGATAATCCACATGCTTGATCATTGATTTGGTAAACATGTGTGTGTGTGTGAACCAAGTGAGCTAAAGAACTTGTCAAGTCTTACACAATGGGCAACACACAAAGGAACAAGTCAGATATGGTCTCGGCTAGTCCGACAGAGCAATGAGGACTACCTAGTACAGAAGACAACACATTGAAAGAGTAACAGTTGGAGAGCCAGAGAAACGAGACTGTCTCTAAAGGACAAACTGAGATAGGTGAACTTATGTCAAAGTACCACCAACCCTGATTCTTCCAGCATGCCCCACTACCACCATCACTATCCCCACTACCTCCAAGTGAATGTGGAAGCAATTCCTGGTAATCATAGCACTTCACCTGTGGGGAGTGGCACTATTTGCTCTGAATGGATGCCTATTTGGTAAAACTACCTGTTCAATGAACTCACCAAATTCTCCTTTCAGTAGTTGCCCTTAGCAATCATGCATACTGAACATGCTCCTTAGAATATCCTCAGGAGGAATGGACCTCAGAAAAGGGTGTTTGGAAAAGAAAGGTTCTCTGAGGTTCTGACCCTCATAAAACTGAAGAATTTGCTTTAATCTCTAGAGTTCAAATTAAAAAAAAAAAAAGTTCAGATCATTAATGGCTATTCCACTTTCAACAGAAGGTCTATGAATGACAGCCCTAACTCTACCTTTCTGCAATGTACTGTGTAACTTAGGAAGAACATACTTAATCATGTTTAACTCATCTCTCTGCAGCTCCTCCACCTCTGCCTCCAAAAAATGTACCAGCCACCCCACCCCGAACAGGGTCCCCCTTAACAATTGGACCAGGTAAGTTCAAGGGTTTTTTTGTTCTCAGCCTATGTGGTGAGCCGAGCAATGGCCCTGGACCTCGAATTGCCTTTGATGTGTTAGAAACTGAAGGCTACACTACAATATCATGATATTGGCAATTAGCTTTATTTCCATTACAAATTATTGTGCAGACTTATTTTAAAGCACTACTCCCTTATTTTACCAAAAAGAATAATTGTTTCTCAATTAACTTTTCTCAGTAAAATTTTGCTGAAAAATATCACATTCACATGTAAAGTGAAAAAATTGGAATAAAAATAAAAGAAAGGAACATTGCTTAATTGACTGCTTATTGTACTAGGTCTCACATAATGATCTCGATCTCACAAATTAATAGGTTTAAGACACAATCTGTAGTTTTGCAATCACTTTTAAACATTTCCTAGAACTTAAACTGTCTAGAAGATGTAAAATGGTTCCCAGGAATGCGGCATAATGCTGCAGGGGAATTTTTTTTTATCGGCAGTTATTCAATAAAAAGATGGATTGTGCACAGTTTATTTCTTTGGTGCATCTTTGCCTTCTGTTAAAATCAATATTATGTATTTATGTAATTTGTAATCTGCCAAGACTTACTAGAGTAACAAATCAAAAGCAGTAAAGGTTATTTTTGTGGATCTGGGACCTTAAAAGGCAATTCTTTATCACCTCTGGAATTCTGTTTCAGCTTGATCCTTTGCTGTTTATGTAATCTAATTATTTGGATGCATAGAAAGAAATGTGTCTATCAACTAAAACAAAAGCAAGATTCAGTCATTTGTGAGATTTATATTGACTCAGTCCCAATAGAGTCATCCAGAATCTCATAAGGTACTTGCAACCTGAAACCATTTTGGCCCCTTGTGTTCCCATGAATTATGTTATCTGTAAATAAGCCAACCAGTGACAAAGGCATAAGAATGGTGGACCATGTGAAATGTTGCTCCATTTATCTGTAGGCTTCAAATTTTGAAATTCATTTCCCTTAGAACTGGAAATATGGATATCCTAAGCCAGTTTTTTACCCCCAAGAAATATTTAAAGGTGAAGTCGCTTTCTGCTATCCCATCCAGTAATCTAAGGAACCATTTCTAATTTAAGAAACCTCACTTTAAGAAAAGTCTCTCACATTGCAGTTGCTGTCAGTACCTCAAACAAGCTCTAGAGGGTAGTTTGTAACTTGTTTCTGTTATTTTCTTCAAACGGAATAGCTGTTTCTAACACTTAAGCAATATAGACTCTTCTTAATCATGACTTCAGATAGATACAGATCACACATACCTATGACGTTGGAGGTTAGACTTCATGGGGAAGAGAATTACGAAGATATTTTTATGGTTTTATTGTCCAGGAGTCAGATTACAGCTAGTGGTTGAAATAAGCATCAAAACCCTCCTCAATATTTTTGTGTGTGTGTTGTGTTAAATGTGTATGTGTGTCTGTAAATATCTGTATTGGGGGTATCTCATTAAACAATTTTTGTACTGCATATATTTACAATAGATGATATTTGGCTAAATATGATGTGATCTTTTTTAAAACCAGCAGATGCTAGCTTCACCAAATATGTTCATCTGACAGCATAGAAAAGATGATATTTATGAAATATGAGGGTGATTTTATGTTATCAATTCATTTTATATTACACTGTGCATATGAAGTAGGTCAGATTATTTTCAGAAGTGACCTCTCTTTGGATTTGGATTTGCAGAGCCTGTTCTCTCTGTAACTCTAACAATGCTTTCTCAAAATGACCACACTCTGTTCACTTTTTGAGCAGCCCTAAAAACAGTATCACACTCGACACTTTAAAGGGTTGCCAAGGTGCTAACTGTGGTCACTTTGCAAAAGAGTGAATCATAGCATAAAAAGATGAAGCTCAAATTATGGAAATGGGGAACTCCCCCCTCACCTTCCATTTCTACCCAATATCCAATAAAATGTTTTGCATCCTCAAATAAGCCGCTGAGGCACCCCACCTGCCCTTGCCTCACCTTTCCCATTCGGCTTCCCACATACACAGAGAAATAATATTAATAAGGGTCAACTGAAGTTTAAAATCAACTACTTTAACCACAGGAAAAGACCAGTCAGCCACAGAGGTCAAAATTGAAAAACTACCATCCATCAATGACTTGGACAGCATTTTCGGCCCCGTTTTGTCCCCCAAGTCTGTTACTGTCAATGCTGAAGAAAAGTGGGTCCATTTTTCTGACACGTCCCCGGAACATGTGACTCCGGAGATGACTCCAAGGGAAAAGTTGGTGTCCCCTCCAGCTGCGTCAGACAATCCCGCTGACTCCCCAGTCGCAGGCCCTCCTGGCCCCCAGGGCTCCTCGTGCCCAGCAGGGCCTCCTGGGCCTCCACGCAATGCACCATCGCCGCTCAATTTAGAAGAAGTCCAGAAGAAGGTGGCTGAGCAGACCTTCATTAAAGATGATTACTTAGAAACAATCTCATCTCCTAAAGATTTTGGGTTGGGACAAAGAGCAACTCCACCTCCCCCACCGCCACCCACCTACAGAACTGTGGTTTCGTCCCCTGGACCTGGCTCGGGCAGTGGTACAGGGACCACCAGTGGTACGTCATACTGTTTGAGTGTGCTTCGTGTGCAGGGGAATGGTTGTGGCTGCTGCTGTGTGAGCAACACCCTCCTCCTGCCTGGCAATTGGCTTGAGAGCTTCAGCCATTCCTCCCCTGGTCTGGGTGTTCTGTGGCCCTGTAGCATGTCCTAGTCCATTGATGCTCACGGTCATGGTCCCAGTCTATGGATGTGTTCTGCCTTGCACTCCCAGCTCTTACAAATGTCCTGGATTCCACATTGAGCCAGGAAGGAAGGTCTTAGAAATATTTCAGAGAAAAGGAATTCCATGTTAAATGTCTGATTTCCTTGCTAGTTGCCTCTACAAAGGAAACTAGCTTTTGCAGACCAGTGTGGGTTGGGTCGAGCTGCTCCTATGTGCTCTTCAGGGAACATCAAGCAGAAAGGATGAATGATTGCATCCCCAACCTAACAAAGCTACCACTGAAGACAAAAGTCACTCTCTGGTCTCACCAGTTGATATGCTCATCATCCTATAAGGTCAACACCAAGTACAGTGACAGGTGATGAAAAAGCAATAATAAATAAGCTTTGGGGCACTTTATGGAAATTATAACATTGAATTTGACTTTTTTGCTTGTTTACCTATTTGAGGCTTCATGTTGTGTTTTGTAATTAAGAAAACCGGGAAGACTTGCCATGTAGACCAAGGAAATGTCAGGAATATCCCTATACATCCCCTTTTATATCATGAATTTCATCGTTGCTCAGATTTGTCTACCAAGATCCTCCAGTGCCTTCCCTTGTGTGCATGTGGGTTCATTTTAGGAAACTTTCAGGCCGTTCCACATGCTATTTGCTTTTCATTTACATTGAAAGAGGCAACAAGATGGAAGGTATTTACATATAGTAAGAGATAAAAGGAGAGGCATTTTTCTTCAGTCCAATATTACCATCACTGCTGCCTCTTTCAATGGAGCGTCTTACAGTGCTTGCCTTTTGTTTCCAAGTGCCTCTGTGCTTCTAAGTGAGAGCATTTGGGAGTTGAGGAGAGGCTGGCATTCAGCTCTTTGTGCGCTGTATCAGGACATGTGCACCCTCACCCTCTTGCCCCCACCAAGGAAAACTGTTCAGTACTCAAATAACTGTGGGAAGCCAAATGAAACAAAATTTAGTTCTTTACCATAAAGCCCCTGGGAGCTTTATTTTTGCCATGAATAACAGCAACTACAATTTCTCGTCATAAATGTTTTCTGCGTATTACTTAATCTCACTGCAATTCTATGTGGCAGATTCTCTTACGTTCCCTGTTTTTCAGATACGAAAATGGAGACTCAGAGATATCAAATAATTTTCACAATTTTATGCACCAGGGGTGATTGACTTGGAATGTCATACCCAGGTCTGTGATTGATCTGAACCTATATCCTCAAACAATATGCTCTCCAGACACCTCTCTAAGGATTGATCACAGAATATCCCAAACTTACCTGATTATTCATACTCACTTGTACTGCACAGTCATCCATATGCTCGTCAAATGTATGTTCTGAATTTGTACCTTTCTGAGCTCTCTAATGCTAGAGGGTCAGAACACTGACCCCCAACACTTTATTGCTTTTTAGGGTCTTGGGAGGATACAAGTCTCATAATCATGTATGAAGGTGGCAGAGTGCATCTGTGCAAAGCCTCCAGAACATAAATGCTAAGAAGCTGGTTGTCTATAGCCAAAGCCCAGTGGCAGGAGTCTAGTGTAGGAGTCGGCAGTCTGTTGGAAAAGGGGATGCATCTGTTTTTCTTTTTTTTTTTTCTGGGGTTCTCTTTCCTGGGTCGAGCTGTCAGTCTTCTCAAAGATTGCTTGCAATATTGACTTCCCTTGAGCAGTGTGCCAGGATGTCACCCCGAAAGTAAACACTTATAGCCAGGGATGGGAAGAGCCTGTTTCTTCTATCACCCTTCATAATTTTCGGGAAATATCTCCTTAACTGAACAAGAAAGAGAAGAGCTCTTTTTTATAAGTATTTGAGAGTGTTGTTGTCTTAAAGTTTAGCTTCCATAGCTTTAGTTGAAATTATTTTTAAAGGTCACTAGTAAAGACCGTTATTGATTCTTAATTATTGAATTGGAAAAAGCTATCCTTTGCTGGTATCCTCAGATTGGGTTTCTCATTAAAAGGTGGAATCAGGCCAGCAAAGCCCATGAATAAATAAAACTGTGCACCATTATCTCCTTAATTAAGTCCCAGTTTATTTGCTGCCTAATCTTTTATTGATAAAATGCACACAAACTGTCATAAATGTAAATGTAGAATGGCAACAGTAGGACATAGCCTCATGCTTTAAAGATTAGCAATACTTCTCACTATCTGATTTTTTTAATGCTTAACCTGATAGAATAAACTTCTCAAACTTCTATTTAATTGAGAACAAGTTTTCCAACACTCCTTAAACTGTACTTAATACTCTGCTCACTTTTAAAATGTCATTCACAATAAGATGACCATCACTGAACAAGTGAAGACAATTGGTACAGTCTTGTCAGTTATAAGTCACTTGAACAAGTTATGCTAAGAACATGCTCCAAGAACTTGAATTTACTAATGACAAAAAGTCATAGATACATAGCTTTTCCAGAGCACCATTTTATTGAATTCCAATTCATGCTGGTTATTTTCCAGGAGTCAGGAAGGGAAAAAGAAGTATCAGCCTTAATCCAGCTTAAAAAACAGAGAAAGAGAGGGGTTGGTAAAAACAGAACACCTTATCTGACTTGGAAAACTAAAGCTATATTAAAAGAAGTTTTTCCACACATGCATGTGTGTGCATGTCAGCAAAAACACATATGTGAGCTTCAGCTACCTGGGATTGAATTAACTACATGCATTACTGTTCCTTAGAGTAGTAATGTCCAGTGCAGGGGCTGCTGGCCCATACATGCTTGCTTTAATTTTAAGATAATAAAGTTGATGTAAAAACTTAATTTTTTAGATATCATAGTCACAATTTAAGTGCTCAATGACCACATGTCATTATCATATTATATCATATGCTCTAGAACATTGCTATAATTGCAGAAATCCCTGTTGGGTGGTAAGTAGCCTCCCTATCTATGGCAGATTTTCCTAAGAGTCTCAGTCTTTGAAGCCGTGGATAGCACCCAACCAAATATATTTTGGGTTTTGTTCTTATTAAGCCAAGAACTTTTACGTTTCCACCTACAGGAAGCATTCAGAGTCTTCTCTTTAGCATATCTGAACTGGCAGCATTATCACTATGGCACTTAGGGCCATTATTAAGTAATGGTCACTTAAACACAAGCTCTGCAATATCTTGACAGTTGCCCTGAAGACTGAGACAGCTCCTTAGTGACTAATAGAACTAATAGCACAAGTAGTATGGCTATACTACACTGAACAAAGGGACGATTCATGTGCCCACACTGTATCAAATATCATGGCACAAGAGCTTATTACGTGCACAATTTTAAATGTATCAATAGTTGATTTCTACACTTTTCCATTTAGTGTTTTTAGACCTGAGTTGACCATAAGCTACTGAAACCACAGAAAGCAAAACTTCAGATAAGGAAGCCTATAATACTGTGTACTGAAAAAAATAAACGTAGTATAAAACAATTCCCATAATTCCCATACATATTTTTTTCTAAAGAGGTGATGCAGGAAACACAATTTGGGACATATATTTGATTTACTCACAGCATCCTGGTATATTAGCTTCATCTCGCAGATAAAGAAGTTGAAACTCAGAAGTATCCTGTCCAAGGTCCTGAAGCTAATATGTAGCCAAATCTGGATCTGGTCCAAGATCTGTTCGATTCTATGGTCTATAGAGGTACACTTTTCTCAAACAACTCCACCATCTGCCAAACACACACGCGCGCACACACACACACACACACACACACACACACACACACACACACAGACGAAAAACAAGGTCCAGTGTTATGGTGCAGGAGACTAAGCTGCCCTGTGATGTAGGTGTTACATACCATAGTGTCTCTTTGATTTCCACCTGCTCTGATTCCAATCCACCTACCTGCTAATGTGCCTAGAAAGTCTGTGTAAGTCAAAGTTTAGGAATACCATCCTGCTGTACCTGAGTGAGAAGGACTTATGCACTTGGAAAATTGTCTTATGCCTTTGCAAACACATTAATGGGAAGCTGAATCAGAATTAGAGCAGTTGGCACTTGACTTAGAAACTGAATGTGGGATTCTAGAGTCACAAGCAGTGCATTAGCCTGCAGTGCCACAACTGTAAGCCCCCAAACAGGCTTTTTATCCAAATGCCTTCTTGCTTCCCAAATACTGCCTCGGTGTCTGATCTGGAAATGATCAGAGTGTGGCTGGAAAGTCAAAGTTGAATTTTATTCCAGTAGTCACATTGAGGGTTAAAACCTACAAACAACCTGTCAGTTGCCTGACATGTCTGTTCTCAAACCTGAGCTTGGTTACAAAGTTTATACTATTCATATAGGGTGGACACATGTATCATATGAGATCTGAACAATACAGATTTAAAAATACAGTAATACCTCAATAAAAATCAAAGAATAATTTGTGGAAAATCACAGAACTTCTGGCAATTGCAGGAAAACCATAGAACTCCTGGCAATCATTAACAGGACTTCACTATTGATTGAAGAGGCACATTGCTTTCCCACATAGGACGTTACCCACCTGCTCAAACAGGCAAACATGAGGGTTACTAATCACTCTTCCTACATTAGTTAAGGAGGCAAGCTCACCCTTTGTTAAGGCACAAGTCTTACCCATTGCTGAGATTCACTGAAAAGTACCATCCCTGGGAAAAGGCTACAGGGAACCTTCCTAGCATGGATCTTTGCTGATTTAGGCCTCTGCAGTCACAATCTAAGTCTAGGCTTTCTGACTCCATAATCAATCAACTATTTCAGTTGATATAGCAAGCTATAGCAATTGATATAGTAATTTTTAAATCGGAGACCAGCAATGTGTCTCAGCAAGTTAAGCCACTCCCCCATTCTCTCTGTTGCACTGCCTTTCACATAAATAAAACAAATTATTTAAAACATTGAAACCCATGCATAGATAATAAGATCATCACAAAGGTCACAGAAAATAAAGAAACTATGCATGGATTGAAGATTTTTGCACCGAAATACGTCGTATATTTTTTAAATAGCCTCCTACGGTTAAATGTTGTCAGGCATAATTATTCTACTGTACTGTATAATGTCAGATTTCCTCCTATCCAGCTCCACCCCCTACACCTCAACTATCTTCTGTCTCTCTCTCTTACTTTCATATTTGTTCCAGGTTCTGGTAACCACTATATCCTGCCCTCCTGTTTCAGTTAAGTCAGCTTTGCAGCTTGTGTATAGAAGTAAAAACATGATGTATTTGTCTTTCTTTTTTTTTAAAAGAAAAGTACATATTTAAATGGCAGAATACAGAATGCCATACACAATGGCAGAGAGAGAGAAAGAGAAGAGAGAAAGGAAGGCAGGGAGAGGAAAAGAGAGAGATTCCATCTGCTGATTCATTCCCCAAATAGCCTCAAAAGCAAAGGCTGGGCCAGAGGAAAACCAGAAGCTGAGAATTCTATCCTGATCTCCCACATGGAGGTAGGGACCCAAGGACTTGGCCCATCTTCTTCTACCTTGCCAGTTACATTTACAGGCAGTGAAATTGAAAGCAGAGCCACCTGGACAGAAACTGGCCTCTGATTTGGGACACCAGCATCTCAAACAGCAGTTTAACTTGCTGCACCACAACTCAGGCTCCTGCACTTGTCCGTCTGTATCTGACTTCTATCACTCAACATAATGTCCTGCTGTTGCAGTAGATAGATATGAGTGAGTCCTATGGTGTGGTTGACTTGAAGCTCAATAACAGCAACCTTGTGTCCAGCCCCAGAGCCTATGAAACTTCCTAATCAAGACTTTGCTGTTTAGCAGTTTATCAGCTGGATATATTCTGCTGTCTTCTGAAAACGTTATGCATGCTCATTTACTGATGTAACACTTCAAAGTAGGCCCTGTCAAAACATGTTGTTGATTCTCCTTTCTTTGAGATAGATTAGCCTAAGAGCTAATGCATTTATTATTGAAAGTATGCAAGCTGACCATGCAAAAGTTTGAACAAACTTTATACAAAATGTAGATCACACAATATGTAAAACTATAAGAGATGGCATTTGAGTTGTATTGCCTGAAAAAGGTTACTGAGTATCTTCAAGCTTCTGTTTCCATTGAGATAGTAATAATACCTACTTGCAAAGCTTAGCATGGGGATAAGATAATATACATAAAATATCTAGCATAGACCTTGGCCCAAAAGAATTTTTTTAAAAGAAAGAGTACAGCAGATGGTAGTCATGAAGGGATGTGGCTATGACAATTAGTGAAAATTTCAGATCAGTGCAAATACACCTAGAATAAATAGCACAGGGGAGTGCACTTAAGATGCAGATTGCTTAAACTAGATGAACAAGGTATCATTATGTTTTTGTTTATTCCAAGTTCTGTGAGAAAATACAAATTGGAACACTCAGATGTCCAGAGATTACAGATTTCTGATGGGCTCAAGGGAGATTGTAAGGGAGGTAATACGGTGTATATATGCAGGATATTTTCCTGGGACAGGCTGTCTTAGAATTTTGCAGGGATGATTGGATACCTGTGGAAAACCTCAGGAGTGGATGGAACTTTTCTGGACAAGAAGTGCTGGAGTATTGATTTGCATTGCTAAGGTTTTTCACCAATAGTGTTCCCATGCATCCCAGATGTATGAGTGAGCATGGGCAGAACCCTGTGTACGAGACTCCATTGATGCCGATCGGTGTGCATGTGGCTTCTGTGTGGCTTCTGTGTTTCATATGCTTGTCATTGACAGCCAGAAAAGTAAATCCAAGAGGCACTTACAAAAACCATCGCAGAATTCGTCATGAATAAACTCCAGCTGACAGATTCCTAAGCAGCCACCACATAATACAATGCTTTAAATTCAGTGGACTTCTATTAAGATTCAACATACAAAATGCTTAAGGCAGCTTCTGACCTTCTTGCTTTTATTTGATCCCTTGCTCACTACCAAGTATTTGAGTGCAGTGATAAAGTTAGCACTCATTATGAAGTGCAATCAAAAGGTAATTCTCTTTTTAAAAAGGGAAAAAGTCATTACACTTTCTCCTCTTTTTTTGGACACAGAAATGAAATTTAAAGTTTAATGCATACCTGGCTGGCCAAAAGTTATAAGTTTATAAAGCATGAACATAATACAAATGACTTTATAAGTAAATGACCAAAATGAAAAGAACCTACCATCCAGCCAAAACTTACCTGTGATCACCAAAAGAGTAATGAAGGGATTTACTTTTCACTTGATGTCACATGACAAGAAAAGGTAATGAGCTTCAGCTTCTCCCACCCACCATAATTCAACCAATTTTTTTCTTTATAAAAAAAAAGAAAAGAAAAAAGCAATGTGTGCTGCAGTGTTTAGTATAGTAACTGCTGGTAGAAAAACTGTCTGAGCCTGGCGCTATACCACGATGAGAGTGTTATTGGCCACCTACATCCTGGTCATGTCTAACAGCAGCTTGTCTTACAGGTGCATCATCCCCCGCTCGGCCAGCCACTCCTTTGGTCCCGTGTAGCAGTACCACTCCTCCTCCACCTCCTCCCCGACCTCCCTCTCGTCCAAAGCTGCCTCCAGGAAAGCCTGGTGTCGGAGATGTGGTATGTTCCCCCTCTTCCCTGACTCAGAAACACATGTTGAAATGACCAAATAGAAGCTCTATCTTCCAAGGGACTTGTCAAATTGAGGTCTGAGCATTAGAGCACTTGTGCAAGTGACCCTTACAGTATGGCACATTTCAAGCCAAGATCCAGGATAGTAGCCATAGGATGCCTGGCGGATGCTTAGCACAGCTCAACTACAGGGATTGGATACAAACTTTATAAAGAAAAAGAAGAATAAAAAAAACTAGTTGGTAAATGGGCCAATGAAACGTTGTTTTTAAACAACATGTTTATATATTTTTATAAGTAACATAACTATAGTTATTTTGGCAAATTTAAAAATTGGAGATAGAAATACTTAGTTGTGCTAAATCCTTGGGAAATAGAGGTGTTGACTTTCATGTTTGTTTGATTTTGGAAAACTCTAGAAAAGGGCAAATACTGGTTTCTGACTCCAAAATACAAATGAGTTACTTGTGGTAGACACATTATAGGTGAGTTAAAGGAATAGGCGGTGGCTAGGAAGGGTTTGTCGCAGTTTTCATATGTTGTGTCTTAAAGCTCAGGTGAAAAACATTCCATGTGAACTATGAACCCTTAAGAGATTTGTGGCAGACCTAAATTTGGCATCTGGACAAAGGAGTCACAAACCAGTGATGCCCATAAAATTGGATTTGGCTGGCACAGTGGTGGAGCTTGAACACCTATAGGCAGGTGTGACCTTCATACTGTCACCTGCTGAAGTCTCTGAGGGCATGGGAATCAAGGTCGTGAAACAGACCTGCTAAATCCTCAAAGGTCTCAGCTTCTCTCTAACTGATGTCCCTACTGTGTTGGAGCATATTATGGTTTCTGGTACCTGTATCTTTACTCAGAAAGTTCCTGTTTTGATAGTATCTTTTTTAGGGTAATTAATTAAGTCATCCATGTTCCTTTAGGGATCCTAGCCTGGGCTGGGAGACATTACAAATATGGGACAAAAGTACTACTATCTGTGTCTCTAACTTTTCATCTCTTTTCTTCTCCCTACAGTCCAGACCTTTTAGCCCTCCCATACATTCTTCCAGCCCTCCTCCGATAGCACCCCTAGCCCGGGCTGAAAGCACTTCTTCAATATCGTCAACCAATTCTTTGAGTGCAGCTACCACTCCCACAGTTGGTAAAAATTATCTCCTCTCTTTTAACCCAATTTTGATCTTGACTGGCTATTTTTTTATGATCTGAAGACCCCAGACCCTTTGTTTCTGGTCAAAATTGTTTTGCTGTGTGTTTTGCTTACTATCACCTGATTCTTTCCTTAAAAGCACCTTCTCAGCTAAGGAGGCTAAGTATCTTCCCTAAGCAAACAGCCTAAGAAAACAACATGGACACCTGTGTTTTACGGGAATCTTCTTATGTTGTGCCGTATAGAGCTATTCAAAAAACAAGTAAGAAACTGCCAGGGAAGATCCTGGGGTTTTAAAGATCATTTATTAAAACACAAATTGTCTCCTTTGAGGCAGAATGTTCATTTAAAATCAAAACCATGTTCCACAATAGAAATTATAGTATTTAGAAATTTGCTTCCTTGAAGACATTCCTTCATCATTTTTGAAAGTCCTTAGGTTGACAAATGATATAAGCATTAGCATTATGGGGACCTGAATGAATGTTTTGACATTTTTCCTTAGTGTTTTTCAATGATGTATGGTCAATTTTCCCAGAGAAATGAACCATTGCTGACATATGCAGAGAATGCCCCTGGACCTCTTTCCTTACACTGTGTTGAAAGGGAAGAGCTGAGAAGGGCTGCCCAGGTGGTGGCTTTCATGCCTGATTTTACCTGTAGAGCTTTCCTCTCCTTAAGGAGTGGTCTCTTTTCCCACCTACCAACAGCACTTGCTGCCTTTTCCATTTTTGCACAGTGTTACTGACCTGGGGCTTTCTCATTCCATTTTTACCATGAGACACCCCTCTGCCACCACTATTGTCTATGGCCTTCTGTCACAATCTGAACTTCCCTGCAATTCTATGTTACAAATCAGCAAACCCAGCCTGCATTGCTTTGGAGAATCAGTAAACAAAGGTAACTCGGTTCCTGCTGCTCCTTCTGGAAGAGCGCACTGCAAAGCTGCCCATGGGAGAAAGCAGCTTGCTCAAACCTGAGGCTTCTCAGAAGGAAACCTACCTCTTTTCCCCAAGAAACAGGCTAAGGTGGGCCTCTGATGGCTCCCAAAGGAATTTCATCAGGTTCACATGCTCTATATTTCTAATCAGATCAGCCTGAAAGAACCCGTCAAATGTCGGGAAAATTTAACGAGTTGTCCAATTCCACATAACTCATTTATGGTAGATATTTAATGTTCTCTATGTAAACAACTCTATTTCTTGTCCACAGCATCAATCAGGGCAATTCCAGGCATCCTATCCCTCAGTGCTAGGAGGCAAATTTCTCTGTTTTTGTTTGGTTCCATAACATTCCAATTTTATTTTTTATCTGTCTTTAACATTTCTTGATTGCAACAACCCCTCCCCTAGAATTGCTCTGTTCTTTCTCAGGAGCATTGTTCTGCTCTCTCCTTATGATTTGTCTTGTTCGTTGGAGAGAGTGAACTGTCACTCAGAGAGCAGACCCCCAAGTGACCTCAAATGAACCACCCAGCATGTTCTTTCAATTTCCTATGATTCATAGAGAAAATTAGACACGCAGGGAAATTGAACTGTGCCCATGTTTTGTACAATGTGTTTCTGTGTTCCCTGTAGCAGAAATCTCCAATCCCGGCCAGCAACTTCGATTCTTAACACATCTAGTATGTGTGCTTTCAAGATGACCCACAGGGTGATTTAATAATAACCAAAACCAGCCACTTAAGAACATGCTCTCATTGCTTCGTTGCTGATTTGGATTGTGTAGTTGTATGATTTTTATGTGGTCTTCATCTGCCCAGTGAATTCCTCACGCTCCTGTCTTTATTTTCTCCTGCTGCGAGTCACCTGACCACCACCTCTCTCTGAAGTAAATACATTGTCCAATGGCTGGCCAGCAGCTTCTGTGTCTTGCTGTTTCTCTTTCTGGAGAGGATGCGCTTTGGCTGTTCCACACTAGGGGGGCCTAATCAGGACTGACGTTGAAGGTCAACTGAATGCACTCAAATAAATGCCTGGAGGCAAGGAGAGAACTTCAGCAGCAAATTCTCAGAAATGGATGACTCAATATTTCCCTCCCAAAGCCACAATACTTCCTTAACTTTTGCTGTGGCTCTTGAGCCAAAATTGAGCCAAGTATCATGGGAACAAATCAGGCAAATTTAAAGTGATTGAAAAGCTAAATTTTAAACAGCAGGTTTAAAATCTCTACATGACAAGGATCTACCATATCAAAAAGCCCCATAAAGTATACACCATGAGTGTGAAAGCTTTCAGGAGAGACACATTCATAAAGTAGCATATCTGATGCCACACCCAAAAATACAACTTTCTGAAAGAACTCCTGCACAACTTTATTTTCTTGAATTGAACACTCAGAGTAAAATCATAATTTTACACGTGACTAGAGAAAAGCAAACTGCTATTTGAATTAGGATACAATGTTCTCCCATCCCATCAATGATATGACCCCTCCCAACTTCAGACAGGTTTGATTGTAACAAAAAAAAAAAGAAAAAAGATACATGACATTGAATAGGCAGAATACAGAAACCTCTTTTTTTTTTTTTCACTAGAAATAACTCACAGGATATGTATTCTGTGGTTATGGAGAAAAACCCTATTAATATTGTAGATATATGAAATATTGTAAGAAACAAAATTTTAGATTAAGAGTGAGACAGCAGTTACGAAAATAGGAAGTTTTCTCTAAGTGTAAATATCTATTTTTATTAAATGTCTCATACTTCGGTAGGTGATTGAAGATTTTTAGAAGTTTGAATCTTTCTTAGCAACCCACTGCAAGACGACCACCAAGAAAAACAACTTTTTTTATTATTAATTTCAGTGTTTAACTATACTCCTTCACTGATAATTATTCATTTTAAATTAATAAGATATCAACATCTTAAGATCCTATCATGAATTAAAACCATCATTGGGTGCCACAGGGAGAATCATAAATTTTCATGATTCCCTCAGTCTAGAACTTTCAGGAAAAGTGGCCTGTGTTCTGTAATGTAACCATAGCATCTAAAATATAAACCACTGCCTCCAACTTTAGTCTCTCTAAGCTGGGTAATGATTCTGAATTGAATAAACTTTGTTTTAAAAAAAAAAAGTAATATGTCCATCAGCCTATAAAAAAAATCCTAGCTCCCAAGAAAAAAAAAATTCCCCACATTTGATTTTGGCCTTTTATTTTCTCCTTACACTGCTTTGCTGCAAGCACTTGTCTCCAGTGGAGTCACAGACAGCACAGGAGGGCATTAAGTTATTCTGGCTACTTGAGAAGCCACACATATAATAAAAATTGTGATCCTTAGATGATATATTAAATTCTGAAGAACTGACATCAAAGCGATTTTCTGCCTTCTGTTTAGGTCTGGGTGGCAGGTTAACAGAATATTTTCTAAAGAACACTGTCATCTGTGTAATATTCGTTCTACCCTCATCCGTTCCCTTCTCTGCATTGTTGGTAGGATTTTCCATTCCTGGACTTTGTATGATTTTATTCGGTTTTCTTTTCAGTTGTCACATACCCTTAAGACTTGTGGTACTGAGTATTTTTTTTTTTTAATCACAGAGTAAAAGGCCCCAGTTGTCTGCAGTTGTTATTTGGTGAGACTGTGAAGAGCTGAAACAAATGAGCTCCAAATCATTAGTGCGTAATACTATGGCCAGTTTGCAAAGGCATCTAGCCACAGCTGGATACCATAGCTAAAGATATAATTACAATAATGCTGTTGAAAATTAACAGTCCTTAACTGTCAAAGGCAGGTGATAGGCAACTTGAACTTGAGTGTTGGTGAGATTGAAACAGGATAGTTCATGCAGGTAGCTTGGATTTACACTCTGATTTTCCTGTGGTCACATTAAAAGCTCCTTCTTCTGCCCCTGGGTGATCCTGTTGATTAGGTAGGCAGATTATTAATGGCACCTGCCAAGGTGGCGCATGACTCCTTCCCTGGGACTGACTTCAGCCCAATTTCCAGATGCTGAACCGTAGCATTTTTAAAATGTTAATTTCTGGTCAGAGAATCATCACAAAGTAAGCATATCAGTGCTTTAAATCCTAAGCATAACCCCAGTGTCCTAAGTTTTATTTCATTTTTTCCATTAAATTCATTCCTGTGTTTCAGTCAGTAAAGAGTGTTGCTCAATTTCATTTGGGATTTGTACTTGTGTTTTTGTTTTCCATTCGTTTATGTTTCTTTGGCTCGTAGTGTCAGAAGATGATGTTTTTTATGACAAACTGCCCTCGTTTGAAAGGCGCTGTGAAACGCCTGCAGGTATGGTGCTAGCTGAGTGAGCTCTAGAGTTGTAGACTTTACAAATCCAAACCATTCTCCATCTGAATGCTGTAAACTCATGGACATGCTCCTCACCTCATGAGTGTCCAGTGCCTCTCAGATGCGCCTTGTACACGTACTGTTCATTGTGGAACTCATGCCACTGAAATTGTTTCAAGTGGTCATATTCAAAAGCAGCAGGTTGCATGACAGTTTCTCAGTGAAAAGGTTTGTAAAAGGCGAGATGCTACTGCTTCGTGTTTACGAAGAGAGGAATAATTTAACTGCTCAGCATTACATGTCCGGTGACTGCTTTTTAACTGGAAAAAAAAAAAGTAGCAGGAGAGCATCACTAGTGATATTGTTTTCTCTCTGGTATATAGATGGAGGGAATTTGGGGTCTGGACGCCTAAGTTGACTCCAGGGAGGGGGGAGGAAGATGTATGGTATCTTCCATGAACTGTAAATTGGTGTGCAACACTGTTGTCATTTAATACCTAAGCTAATGTTTTGTATAACCCATAACTGAATTTATCTTTTTGGAAGCATAGAAGGGGATGGCAATGAAGATGAAATGGATGCAGCCATTGCTGAATAATACTTTGCCCTAATTAGTGCAGTTAAAATATGCTGACGCCCCTGCATGGCCAGGAAGTCCTCCGCCCCATGCACACAAGCACCAAATTGTCAAGCCACCAACAACCGTGCCCATCCCTTTAGGCCTCCATAGCTTTGCTTTTGCTTTCTGTTTCCTCAACTAAAATAAATAAATAATAATAGTAGATTGCCAGCATCCCCTTTTCCTTCCCGCACGCTAATGGCATGCAGTGCCTCCACCCTTCCCCTTAGTGAGATTAATGACCTGCTCTGTAACTCATATTTGTCCTTCTCTCTCCCTCTCCCTAACCTTTCCTATCCCGCTTCAACTCCTGGCCATACAGAGAATGAACAGCCTTCCCTCGTTTGGTTTGACAGAGGAAAGTTTTATTTGACTTTTGAAGGTAAGTAGTACATAGCATACCAGATTCTAATTTGTACTCCCCTCCTTCTTGCCCCATTTGCACTTCAAAATCCCACTCCTTTCAAATTTCTGGCTTCTGTCTCTATAAAAAAATGCTATGGCTACTTAGAAAATAACAAACACTAAAGATTACTTGAATTGGGTGTGGATGTCATCTTTAATTTTTTCATTTAAAAAAATTAAAGCTAATTTGCAGTTAATATTGGTTGCTTAATTAGCTATGGTCAATTGAAAAAAAATCAGAACAAATCTTTTTTGACCAAGGAACTTAACTCTGTCAACCAGGGCTCTTTTCCTAACTCTTGCAAATGCAGCACAATAAATACAAGGTTAATTTTTGGTTGGTATGGGTATTTAACCTTTCTCTTCCAATGAATACTGTTACAGATACAACATCTATTATTGCAAATTGTGACTATCTGTGTATGTATATATACTTAAAACAAGAAAAATTGGGTGAAAGAAAAAGAAGCACTGCAGTGGGTTTCATTAACGCTTCCTTATTGTAATTCAAGTGGTTGCAATAAAATGGGCAACTTTTGCTAGACTTGTCATTTTAGAAGTTTGAGGAAAATATACCACATGGAATATCAACTATCTAATCACAATGTCTGATAATTTGTCATTTATGCATTAAGGATTAGCATTCTGCTTTATATTTAAATCTTCTTGGTATTTGATATAATGACCCATATAAACTAATGATGGTGAAAAAAATTTAAATTTTAATTAATGAGCCACCCTGCACATAAAATTTATCATAGCCCCTGACTTTCTACCGTTTAAATAAATGTTTTATCCTAAGACCAAAATTAGCCAATGGAAGAAAGGGAGGGAGAGAGGGAGGAAGGAAGAGAGAGAGAGAGAGAGAAAAGAAAGACAGAAAGAAAGAAAGAGAGAGAGAAGGAAAGAAAGAAAGAAAGAAAGAAAGAAAGAAAGAAAGAAAGAAAGAAAGAAAGAAAGAAAGAAAGAAAGAAAGAAAGAAAGAAAGAAAGAAAGAAAGAAAGAAAGAAAGAAAGAAAGAAAGAAAGAAAGAAAGAAATCTACCCTGGAAAAGAATGTTGGTGTTGAACTTTTTCTAATTTAGGTATATGTTTTCATGCAAATTTAAGTCAGAAAATCTGATTATTAAAATAGTTTGAATGGTTGCAACTTTTTTCTCAATGAGAAATCTTGCTATCAAGGTGGGCTAGACATAGAAACCCTTAGCCGATAGTAGCTTTTTGAGGGCCAACAGGAAAGATGATCAGATTTCAAATTTTCTGATACCCTAATGTCCTGTCCTGCTAGAATGGAGGGCAGATGGACAGCCAGTCTTCAGGGAAGGACTATACATTTTACTAACAATGTGAAAGTCTTCGCTGTCCCCGGCCATTAATTTTATAATAGCCAAAATACAAGTCCAGGAAATAGTGACCTCCAAACTTTGCCTTTGAGTCAGATGAAATTAATAAGTATTTAAGTATGTTAATACTGATTAGACATCTCAGAAGAAACGGCTCCTATTAAGTAGGTAAGACAATCCAGAAATACAGCCAACATGCTACACACAAGGTCCCTGTGCAGTTTAGTGCGGCCAGAGCAGCTGTGTGCTTCACCCTGCTTGGAGGCCCAATCCTGACACTTCCCAAAATGCCACACTGACATTTTTTTCTCTTATTGCTATTTGTTTCAGCTATAGAGTAAGTTATGGCTTTCACTTTTGTTTTAGTATAGGACCTTTTTATGAAAAGAAGTCGACTTATTTAAAACACACTATTTTGAAGACAGTTTTGGTTGATGGTTTGTTTGTTTTAAATATTTAGATATATATATTATCCATCAATGTGTGGCATATCATTTTACATGAAAACACATGTAGCATTTGTTCATGTATCTGTACATCTCTGAAGTTGATAACACTGTGGTACCAATTTCCTAAGCATTTCAATTTAGGCCAAGAGAAGTTCATACAGAAGTTTTCATGGAAAGTAATTAGAACTTTGAATATTGTGTTATCTTCATCTTGCACTTTACTCAACCTTGGGCAGTATCCATGAGGCTTCCTGAGGGTCTGTGAACAGCTGTATTATGAATGGGTGTGTCATTGTTTATCCCATCAGAAATGCTTGTTTAGGTAAAAAGGTTTTTTTTAAAACATTTATTTATTTGTATTGGAAAGGCAGCTACATAGAAAGGAGGAAAGACAGGAATATCTTTCGCCTGATGGTTCACTCCCGAAGCACCCGCAACAGCTGGAGCTGAGCCACTACGAAGCCAGGAGCTTCTTCTGGGTCTCCCACACAGGTGCAGGGTCCCAGAGCTTGGAGCCATCCTCGACTGCTTTCCCAGGCCACAGGCAGGGACCTGGATGGGAAGCAAGGCTGCTGGGATTAGAATTCGCACCCGTATGGGATCCCGGATGCATTCAAGGCAAACTACACTATCATGCTAGGTCCAAAAAGTGTTATGAAATATGCTTCAAAGACAGTCTCAGGGAGAAAGCAAAAGTAACACCTTGTCAGAATGCCTTTGTGTAAAATACACAAGCATTTCCCCTTTATGGATATTTGCTTTAATATTCTCATTTTTATTTTTAAGATTTTTTATTTATTTGAAAGGTAGTGTTACATAGAGAGGAGATACAGAAAAAAAAGAGAATCTTCCAGCCACTAGTGTTACCTGCAAATGGCTGCAGTGGCTAGGGTGGACCAAATTAAAGCCAACAGCCTGGATCTCCTTCCAAGTCTCCCTTGTGGGTGGCAGGGGTCCAAACACTACTCTGTCTTTCGGGGAAGGGTTTTGGAAGATCCCGTCCATCGTCTACTCATACCACTGCTCCCTCAGCACTCTCTCATCTTTGGACTGCTATTCTCCTGTGGACAGCTCTCCTTCCTAACGCCCCCACCCCGCCCTTGCCTAGCCATACGCTTCTTACATTTCAGATTCTCTGCTGAGCTCATGCACTTGCTTCCTTGACTGAACCCCAGCTTTCCCCAGAGACCATCATTTCTGTTGTGGCACTGTGACGGAAAGTTCAAACTCCCATGGACTCCCAAGTCCATCCTGTGACTTGAGAGGCAGCATTCCGGTTCCCCAGCTTCCCTCTGCAACTTCTATACCCTCACTGATGATGGAGAGTAGTCATGTGTGAACCCACTCTGCTACTCCTTGTTGTTATTAAATGACTTCAAAGTGTTGATCTATATTTTCCTACAGGCTTAGAGATGCCAGTAGCTTCCTTCTCAGCCTCTGCTCCAATTCACTTCCTAACCTTCTCTGTAACACATATTCTATGTGGGTGGTCCAGCCACACTCCGGCTTTCAGAGCCTCTTTGATTTAGTTCTTACACTCTTTCTTTCCAACCCATGCGACAGTTCACACATCCAGCCATACCCTGAAAGTGGTCCTCACTGTCTAGTGTCATTTTTGTCATTCCATAACTAAAAATGTGTCATTCTTTTTTTTTAAGATTTATTTTTATTATTTTTTCATTGGAAAGGCAGATATACAGAGAGGCGAGACAGAGAGGAAGATCTTCCGTCCGATGGTTCACTCCCCAAGTGAGTGCAACGGCCGACACTATGCCGGTCCGAAGCCAGGAGCCTCTTCCGGGTCTCCCACGCGGGTGCAGGGTCCCAAAGCTTTGGGCCGTCCTCGACTGCTTTCCCAGGCCACAGGCAGGGAGCTGGAAGAGAAGCGGGGCTGCCGGGATTAGAACCGGCGCCCATATGGGATCCCGGGCGTGCAAGGCGAGGACCTTTAACCACTTGCGCCACCGCGCCGGGCCCCGTCATTCTTTTTGTATGTTGGCAAGCAATAATGCTTTAATTCAAAAACTACATTTTATTTTGTTTGTGTTGATTTTTATTTGTTTATTTAGGAAACAGAAATACAGAATTCCTGACCACTGAGTTTACTCCCCAAATACCAAAACTTCAAGACTGGGCCAGGGCCAAAATCAGGAGCCAAGAACTCTGTCCAGATCTCTCACGGGAATCACAGGACTCGGCTGCCTAAGCCATCACTCCTGCCTCCCAGCATTTGTGCTAGCAAGAAGCTGGCGTCAGGAGCCAGGGATGGATTCCAGTGGGATGCAGGCATCTTAATTTCTAGGTCAAATGCCCATCCCTCAGCAATTACTTATTTACCAAGTGCCTATCGTGGTAACACTATTTTATCGTTTTTTAGTAATAAACACAACAGAAAAATCTCTGCCATCATAAAAGTTTAAGTTCCAATACAATGAGTGACAATTAGAAGGTAAATGAATATATAACTTTGAAGTGATGAGGTCTACAGGGAAACTGAAAAGAAGACTAAAGCATATTTTGGGTTGCAGTTCTAAATGGAGGGCATAAAGATATCAAAACAATGGAACACAACAGCTACATCTGAGCACTTACTATCTGCAAAGTGCATTCCATCTTTTGACTCATTTCATCTACACAATGCACGAATCAAGAAACTGAAGTGCAGGTCATGGGCACCACTTTTATAGTCTCACCACCAGCAGGAAGCAGAGTGAAGATTTAAGCTCGGGTCACTTGTCTGCAGTCCACTCTGTGTGCCCCACCTCAACCTACTGCGCGTACATTAACATCATCCCAGCTTTGCAACAGCAAGGGTTGGCCCCTAATCCTTCAACTTCCAGCACTCTAGTTCCATGTCACCAACACCGTATTTGTTACCTCCCAGACATCTTGGTTGTCATGTCTGTATCATCCTAACACATCTCACTAGTCCAGGCCTACATTCAAGTTGTTTTCTGTCCAGCTTAGCTACCAGAGAGAATAACTGTCTCTAGAAATGTTTAATCATCCATACAATTATGAACTATGTTTTTTATCTTTGTTTGAAATTATGTTGCTTCTCTGCCTGAGTTCTGTTTGGAATTGTGTTGTTTCTGTGGCCAGGGGTGGGGAGAGGGGAACTGTTAGACGTTTTAAATGTCTGACCAATTACTGAGTAATTGGTAAAGTTACAATCAAGGACACAAA